TATGTATCATTTTAACAATGACTTTTCATTTTAACAATTTTGACTTTTCTGTCCTTTCATTGGTTTATTTATCTCAATAAATGTCACAGTTTATCTCAAACTGTTAACGTTGATTCCCAAAGTGATGACATTTGAGATAAATAATCTACTTTTGACTCAATGACTTTGTCTGGTGATTAATCTTTTACCTCCTGGTTTTTGACTTTGGGGATCGTTTTTTTTTTTTTTTTTTTACTCTCAGCTCGAAAATGTTCGATTTATTTCGATTGATTGTCTTCTCGTCTGGACTCATCATCTCATCGTTATAAGGCGGGTTTTTTTTTAATTTATATCTGTGGGGATGAATCTAAATTCGTATAATTTGTAGGTTTATTTTTATGACTTTTTGCTCTCCGAAAATGAGATGGAAGCTACAAAAGACAAAATCATTTAGACTTTTTGGACTGTTCATTACGCAACCACGTCATAGGTCGAACCGATCGTCTCATAAATTTGACTTCCAATTCACGAGTCGGGATTTTAACCATTACATTTATCCTTTTTCGATCAGCTAAATCAGGCGCGTCAAACCTCTGGTCCAGGGGCCGTCATACAACCTAATTAGATGTCAATGTGGGCCGCACCAGTACAATTTTACAATGAAGTTGGTATTTATTCATATTTAATGAAATATAATTTGAAATAATTTGTCCTTTTTTTGTTTTTTGTTTTGTTTTGTTTTGTTTTTTTTTTCAAAAATCAAGCGGGCCAGATTGAACACCATAGCGGGCTGCTTTTGAGCCGCGGGCCGTATGTTTGACACCTGTGACTTGAAATTTTTACATTGCTGACATAGCACTTCCTGATTATCACAGAGATGTCTTCCCACTTGAACTCTGACCTCTGGTTGATCCACACAGCAGGAAGTCCAATCACCTGAACCCGGTGCATGTGTGGTGTCTTGTTCATGGAGAAAGCGCTCTCTTTCCTCTCCTCTTCCTCCCTCCTACACGCGCGCGCGCTCACGTGCACGAGTGTTCAAAGCTGAACTACAAGTCTCGTGCTGCGTCGTCATGGCGCAGCGCGGCTCGCAAACTTCTGCTGCTCGAACCGAATGTGTTTACCTCGTTTCATTGGCTCCGCGATGGAATTGTTGTAGCTCTGATAGTTTCCCGCTTGAGCTGTGAGGAAAAACTTCGAAGCCCGGCCAAGAGAGGGTGCTAATGGGCAGTGAAATATGCAAAGCAATGCAGCTCCTCTCCTTTACACCCGCTCTCTGTTTGTGCGCAACGTGACGGTTGCGGTCTCACGTCAGCGCTGTCACAGTCCAAATATTTTTTTTTTTTTTTTCTTTTTCCAAACCATGAAGTGACCTCGACAATAAATGAACAACCTGGATGTTAAAAATGTATTGTAATGCCTTTTTTTTTTCTTTCTATTTTGCACTTCTGTGCCAGGCGCATCGCGCCGCTCCCTCGCCCATCCATCCATCCATCCTGTCATGCATTTACTCATCCATCCATCCATCCATCCACACGCACCTTTCTCCAGGTCAGTGATCCGGTGGTGCAGGGAGGTGAGTGTGGACTCCACTCTGTTCCGCTGGTCGCTGTCGTTCCTGGCGCCGACTTTGGTCTCCTCCAGCGTGTTGACCCGGGACAGAACCTGTCTCTCCATGTCGTCGATCTTGTTCTGCAGCAAATCCTTCAGGCTGTTGGCTTGGACCGTGCTGTTGCCACGGCTGTACTGCTGCATGTGGAAGACGAGAAGAAGCGTGGAAGAGACACTTAAAGTTAAAGGTGTTTCCATCTGTTTCGGGTTTTTCGGTGAGCGATTACATAACGGTGACTCCGTTCGCCGTCGGTTTGCGCCTGTGCTGCAGCAAACGGGGGCTTGTATTTGAACCCCGCACCTGGTTTCTCTGTTGCTCAAAGGTGGCCCTCGTCAAATGTCAGTTCGGATCTCGACCAACACTGCGGCGTGGATAACGACATTTTGACCCTTTTATACTATTAGTCCATACGAGTCAACGCACTCCAAACGCCCAGTCAGCATGACAGTGAGGAGTGAGGACCCCACATGGTTTTCTTTTTCTTTTTTTGTGCTACTCCTTTATCCTTTGCCACCATTTAAGCCCACTGCAAGGTGGATGTAAACAAACTCACGCGATTTTTTTTTACCTAGCTTTGATCCCATACCTTGTCTCCTTCTACACCAAAACGAGAAAAATACTACATTTTCAGTACAGAATCTACTAAAAAAATTAATTAATTTTTTTTTTTTTTTTAAATCTGAACGATGTCATAATCACTGCATGACAGTCAATAATTACAATCGTTCTTCAGCTCGAGTATCTCCACCTTCTGCCTTACCCTAACCCCCACTTTATTTACACTTCACCTGCACAGGCACATGGCTGCACACTCCGAGTCTGGCTCCGGTTTAATTTTGGGGTTTTTTTTTTGGGGCGGGGGTCTGCAATTGAAAAGACCTACTTTTTGTTTCGTATATACGTTTTAGGACTAAAATATGTACATGTTATTTAAATCTATCTATCTGTCTAACTATCACGTGATTCCATCAGAGACCCGTTTTACCAACCCTCACTTCTCTAACCAACAACCACATCAACCCCCTCGATTCCAACTTTTCCCGTCTCCCTCCGCTCCCCCCCCCCGTCTCCTACCTCCAAGTTCTCCAGTCTCTGCTTGAGCGTCTGTAAAGTCTGTCCCAGCTGTGCCAGGGTGTCCATGGTTCCCCGGGATACATCCCCCATGGTGTTCTTCGACCCGGGCTTCTTCCCTCCGGGTCCCCCGGCAGCTGCGGAAACAGAGGGGAAACTCTGACTCTCGCAGCGGCTCAACTTGGACGTAAGCTCCCTGATTGTCTCCTTCTGGTTCATGATGGTCTCCTTCTGCTGCAGCACGGTCTCCCGCAGCTGCATGACCGTGGTCTTCAAGTCCTCCGCCGGCCCGCTGTTCTGCATCGTGCACAGGTCCATATCCTTGGGCACCGACGTGCAAATAAACTGCGTCTGTCCGAAGTCTTGCGCGCAGCCTTCCAAAGCCACCGAGCATAAGAGAAGAAAAAGTTTCCAAGATGTCCGCTCCATGGTTCCACTCGACTTCGGTCTGAGGAAAGAAAAGTGTGTGTGTAAATGAGGACGACCGTGAGTGTGCGGCGTGTAGTTGTAGAGTTTGTCCCAGGTCTCAGCACCACGGGAGCTGTCCACGGAGCTGTCCACGGGAGCTGTCCACGGAGCTGTCCACGGTAGCTGTGTGCGCTCTGTGCGGCTCAGCTGAGGTTTTATAGAAGAGCTGCGGCAGCAGAGTCACCGCATCAGAGAGGAGAGGCAGCGGCCTCTGCTGTGCACACGCGGCCACGCCCCCTAATTTAAGGTCGTACTCGTGACTGAGGCATTAGAGATGGATTATCCTTCTTTTTTTTTTTTTTTTTTTTTTTTAAAAAGAGCAACATAACTAAACCTGTTCTTAAGCCAAACTTTGGTAGGACTTCAAACATTGGTTTTACCGCAGAGTCCAGTTGTACTTGTCTTTCTTAGTTTTTTTTACGTCATTAAATTGCTAGTTGCAACATCATTATCACCATCATCTTGTTTTAACGCTTGTCGTTGTCCTTTTTGATCGTCACCATTAACATCCAACGCATCACCATTTTTTCCATCATTCTGAACCAGACCGTGTTCATCTTCATCTCCCCGACATCATCACCCTCCTCCTCCTCCTCCTCCTCATCATCGTCCTTAACAATACCATCATCACCCTGATCATCACCATCATCCTCAACACCATTGTAATTATTTCCATCATTAACGTTTCTCATCTTCCTTATTGTACTCTCCGTCTTAATCATCTTTATAATTCACATCCCGCTACTTTTATTGCGATCATCAACCTTTCTAGGTGTTCATTATCTTCAGTCATATCAGGATTGTCGTCTTCATCACCCTCAACCTTCCATCGTTATGATCATCATTGCCCTTGTCGCCTTCATCATCATCATCATCATCATCATCATCATCGCTTAACATATAAAACAAATACTTAATGACTTTTCTCAGGCAGCCCCCACCAACACTTCCACGCACGTGCTCAGTGGACTTGTTCAGGCTGCGATTTTTTCTCCACCTTAAATGGGATCTGCTCCACATCCTTCACACGGAGTCTGTCCCACGGCAGGAGTTCCCAGCACCACCTCTCATTTCCAGCCTCCCTCTACTGTATGCCTTTCTCACACACTCTAATCATACATGCTGCTGCTGCTGCTGCTGCTGAAAATAAGGATGACAGTGGTGCAGGCTGCTGCTGCTGCTGCTGCTGCTGACTGATCAGCAGCTGCAGCAAGCTGGGCTGTGGACTTTACATTGATGTTGGTTTTTGCTCTAATAAGCTCCTAATAGAAATCCACGTTTTTCCCTTTACTCCTTTTTTTTACGCACGCGTACGACTGTTGTCACATTCGGTGATGATAAAACATCCTTCCCCTGTTTCCTCAAGCTTTTCTCCTGTCTCGGTAGCTTCACATTAGGGACCGAGGCGCTAAAAGTGGAAGTGAAATGTTTCCAAATAATTAAACACATTCTTATGTAACCGGCCAACCTTGAGGATGTGGCATGAATAAGTACGATTCAGCATGCAGGGAAGAGCTACATCACTCTAACACAGATCATGACGAGATAACAAGTCACTACTGGGAGGAAACAGCTTGATTCAAACTGCCTTCCCATAGCACTTCAGCTGGAGATTTAGCTTTAGGCTAAAATGAAAATGTGCTCGCGCTCGTAGCGTGCTCTAAAGATTTCTCGCAGTTATTTGAGCATCCGCATCGGCTCTGTGTCTTTTCTTTTTGCGGAAAAGGTGCATTTTTCCGAGCCATGAAATGGTTATTTTAACCACTGAAAAAAAAATTCTAACCTAGCTAATGCTCAGGGCAAGTGGTCCCCAAAATATTAGAATTTGCCCTTGAGGTTTTCAAGATTGGGTATTTAGTGTGTTCATTATAAATATAAATAATAATAAAAAATAATTTTGTCATGTGACGCATTATATAATTAGAAAATGGCAAAACATTGGCACAGATGTGTTGTAACTAGCCATGCTAGCCTGAGGATAGCCTTGAGGCTAGTCAAAAATAAGCCATAAAAACTTAATAACCAAAATATGATGGGCTCCAATAGAGGTTGC